TTCAAGCGCGCGAAACGACACTTTTGTTATTCGAACTCTTCAGCTACACTGGTCCCATACGCTCCCTCCAGCTTTCCATCAGCTCGGTGTGAAGTCACCCAGGTGATTTCTTCTAGCCATATTTCACGAAGAACTTCAATTGTACTTGCAGTGAATGTCTTATTGCTCTACTTCCTTCCTTTTATTGTAACTTTAGTTAGCTCGCGACAGTAAGCGTTTGTGTACGCTGACGTAGCCTTTGACCTTTTTTTTCCTGAATTTCATACGAAACTTTCTACGAATTGCGTTTCAGTTACTCATCTCAAACCCTCTTTTTTCTTCCAATTTCATGGCTATCTGATTAAAATTTATATTGTTGCTTAAGTTTTGCACACCAGTGTAATTGCGCTGCATTAAAAAACATCATGAGTTAGTTACAGGATGTGAGTTAAATGACTGTATCTTCTGTACTGATAAAGAGCAAACTCATATGAAGATACTGTGGAAGTACTACATGAAATACCTGAAAATTATAGTAAACTGATGACCTGTAACCAATTCAGTGCTTTTTCGTACAAAGATGTTAAGTCCAACGTTGTTGTTCGTTATGTTAAAGGGCCTGTGGTGATTTCGGATTACTTCAGAACACAACGCCCATCGTTCGATTGTTGTTATACTTCATCTACAGTTTATTATCTTTACTGTGTTATTAGCCCATAGATATAATCTTTAGACATTCTATATCAAAATTCTAAATAAATACCAATAAGAATTTTCACAAAAGCATACAGAATCTAAAATATTAGATTTTTGTAGGGCTGCAATCTGTTGACAGTTAACATAACAAAATACTCGAGAACTTTCTGCATTAAAACGCCAAGCTAGAGAAATTTCTACAGAAAACGTATTTGTACTTATATTACCCAAGAGAATACCCTGAAAAACGTATACAACCAGCTCGAAAAGCCTCGAAAATTCTTTCAGACATTGGAAAGAAGAAAAAAATATATTTTCAACGGTCTGATCCCCTTTGTTTCTAAATCCGCAAATGATGAGATTTTCAAACAGAATTCCACAGTAACCATTGTTTGAAACACTGAGTACTTTGGATGGGAAGAGCACTTTTTATTTTTATTCGCATAATGATCTTGATATCATGAAATAAATAGAGCAATAGAATTTAACATCATTTTATCAGAATTCGTAAAATGAAGTGATTTCAAACATCTTGATGCATGTGGAGTAAAACGTCTGATACCAATGAAGAGTGTATTATTCGAATGTGATATGATATATCAGATTTATAGTGGTTTTTTTTTTATTTAATGAGTTTTCTTAGACATTCTTGGAATGAAGTGATTTCTTATATCCTGATACAAATGGAATAATAAAAGCTGACACCAGTGGAAAGTCGCGTCGTGAAATATGACATGAAATGTCAGATTTTTAAACTTTTAATGCACTGAGTTTTGTCAGACATTCATCATATGAAATGATTACAAACAATCTGACACAACGGGGTAACATGAGTTGAAATTAGTGGAGTGTGATGCTGTATGATTATGATTTGAAATTTCATATTTAAGCGTTTTGATACGATAAGTTTTATAAGACATCCGGTGGAATACAGTGATTTCCAAATTGATCAATCATCAAATATAAAAAATAATTAATTGAATATTTACTACAAAATGCAAATCAAAGTAATTTGTCTGTCTTAAAGAACTAAAGCTGTAAAGCTCTCTTAACGAACTGTGAATTAGATTCTGTCGAAGTGTAAACTGTAACTTCATAACATACTACTTTTAATATTATGTATCTATTGATGCTGATTTATGGATCTCATCTATAACCTGAATATAATGTAATAATAATGAAGCAAGCAGGGGAACCACTGGGGAGGGGGAATACAGCGAGTAACGGAGGCAAGTGGTCCTTCTAATTTGGGAATTTCAATTTAAGGCAACCAGCTCCTAACAACAAAGTAGTGGCCTTCGCTAACTTTACGTAACTTTCCGGATTGGATTGGATTATTCAATTATGGCAAAGCACACGAGAGCTATCTGCCTAAAGGAGGGGATGCCTTAGTGGAGGACTTTCTAAGGAAAACTGACTCGTATACACGTTACACACGGGGAAACCACGAAAACGCCGATGCAGCCAGCCCGTTCGCGGGATTCGAACCTCGGACCGAACTACCAGTGTTCAGCGTCTTTATCGCTCGGCCGCTGTGGGCCGTAAGTTTCCGGTTTCTATTAACTTAAGAAGGCAGTCTCAAGCTGTAGATGAATGATAACAAACACCCAGAATGGCAAAAACGCTCTCGAAATGTTCTGCAGTTTTTTTTTTTTTCACAAATCATTAAAAGCGTTGATGTTTCCGTTATGGCAATTCGCAAACTTAGGTAACGTTTTTGTTTAACATGAGTTTTAATAGATAGAATCTATCAATTTAATAGATGCAGTTAAAATTAATAAAGAAAAAATTAATTAGTAATAAAGAAAGAAAGAATTTTGATAAATATAACCTATTTCCTTTGAACAGAGATTTAAAGACATTTTGCAGCTAACTATTTTTGCATAGATGCTCTCCCAAATCTTTTGAAACTGTAATTCCTTAACTTTTTTGTAGTTGCAGTTTTTTCCGACAGATAGCGCTACATTCATTTTCGTTTTGTTTCGCTCATTGATTTCTGTATAAATATGGTTTTTACTTCTCCACTCTTTGCAACTCATCATCATCAATGACCTCAAATTGTCTTAAAATGATGTTAAAATCTTATTAAAAAATACTTAAATAAAACATTTCACTGATGATTCCAAATAGCCAATTCAGAATTGCGATTAATGACACACCAAACGCATAGAATCACCACCGCATTATTACGTGAAAAAGAATTTGAATTTTTCTTGTTTCTACTATCTGAGAACAAAAAAAGAACTTAAAATAGTTATTAGAAGTTTTCTGGCTGCTTTGAAATCCACGAGGTCTTCATCACAAGCTACTTGAAGCTACTGTGCATAGGAAAGGCGTTTTTACTAAATTCCCATTTCCTCATTAACGTGCCTAACAGAAAGCTCGTTCTGGATGTATTTTTTAATGAAATCCGACTTGCGTTACTAGAAATTAAAGTTAAAAACCTACCGTGATAATGTATGAAATTATCTTGTTTCAGATGCCAAGAGTTCTATTCTCTCCACAAGTCATGTGTAAACACAAGCCTAAATGTGTTATATGTGGAATAAACACGATTCCAAGCATTGAAATACACCAAAATAAGAAGACTCTAAACTACGGACATTCTCATGTATCCAGCTTGTGCATAATTCTGGAAACCCCGTGGAAGCAATGGAAAGATCTATTCAAAGAGAGTTGTTACGAGTAAAATATATGCTCAAGTACTAAATCTAGGATGCAAAGTAGGAATTTAAAGATCTTAAGAATTATTTCTAAGATACTGATATCCAACAACTGAGTTACCTAAAAATTAATTTGAAAGTACTGTGTACTTATTTTATGACGTGAAAACTTCAATGAAAGCATGCATTCTAATTGTTATTTTTCTTTAATTTTTCTTTTTATTTCAATAATTCTAGTTTATTAAGATTTTATGTTTGTTTAATTTGATCTCTCTGCGTCCCGATTTCTCGCGATCGCTGAACGGTGCTGAATCAAGCTCTCATGAATCAGTGATGTCCATCTGCTACCAGCTACTTTCCCTTTTTGTTCTTTCCTCCAACTTCCTTTTTAGTGGAAAAACATCCATTCAGAATCAACTATAGAATGGTATATATTGTATCCTATTAATTTATGTTGGCAATCAATCATGAGGTTGTGCTCTTGTATGACATATCTACCTCCATAGAGACCTAGCACTCAGGCAACTAAGATACAGAGACCGACGAAATCCTACTTTCATTGGGGCTGCGGGGGGGCAGTGAAGACCTTCCTTCAAACGCTATCATAGTCGCTGAGTGGCTATTGTGACAGAAAAATAAAGATCGTCAAAGGACGTTTTTTAAGCAATACAATTGGTGGCTAGATTATTTGTTCCAATAAGCACATATATGGCTGTATTCCAACAGATTTTCCGAATTGCCTGATGTTCTGCTTTCCTATTAACTTAATAACCCCATGCCCAAGATTTAATAGTTCCAGACTGATTCCTATGGAACCTGAAGAACAGAGTGTTTGCATTACTGTAGACGAAACATGAACTGCAGACTGCCAGAAGATATGGAGAATATATTATCTCACATGCGCACGCTGTGCATGCATATGTTGAGACGCATCAAGGACGTTTTTCCACATCACCTCGAATAGAGCATTCAAGCAGAAGGAGGACATGTAAAAATTACATTATTTTCAAGGTTCACTAATTTTAGTGTTATTCGTGTCATACGTTGCATTAAATGTCTCCGTGCATACCGTTATTTAATAAATTTACTACAAGCACTCACCGTCTTTCTCGTATTATTAGTGCAGAAATTTTGCGCCTCCTTGCATGACAAGACATTACTTGATGGCAGCGGGCAATATTACAACTTCGGAGAGACATTTATGGGGGTAACTGCTCTGTTCTGTTTGTTGGTTTCCACCTTTGCAAAACATTTTTACTCCCGAAGAAATGATATTTATGTTTGGTCACCATTGTTGCGTTTAATTCAAAATCTACATTACTCCGAAGTTGCATTTTTGCTTAATTATAAGTACTGATATTATGTGTTCCTATTTCAAAACATGTTTGCCTTTAATGATAAAACCATGAGCGAAAAAAATTTGGTTTATAAAAGACCTGAAAATGAGCAGTTTTCCGACTCATGAATTCAGCGTTGTTCATAATCTTCGGTTATGCGAGATTTCGGTTAGAGTGGGATTTTAGTGTAGTAGAATTGGCAACAAATATCGCAAATAAGCAGTTGCCAAGCCAACGGTTATTTCGTCATTTATAACTTCAGCTAATGTACACGCTAAATGAGTTCCCTTTCCTGTCGGATTCGATTATCTCAAACACGGCTTACCTTTTTGAGAGGTGCTTTCTCCTTGTAACTTGGACTTCTGGAATGACTGGATGGAGGGGAGACGGGTCTCCCATTTCGATCGACCCACATGTAGACGGAGTTTCGAAACCTCGGGCCACGACGAGAAAATGGCAAAGATTTCCCACCTAGATCTGTAGAGCTCAGTCCACGGCTAGAGTCCAAAACCTGTGGGATAAAAAAATTGAATCTTAGGCAACACTTCGAAAGAAAAAGATTACTTAAAATTAATATTTAACAATGATTTGAGATGAAAATGATCCTGACTGCGACGATGTCTTTCAACAATGCTTCAATCAAATACTGCCAGTTTTGCATTTCTATGATAGAAAGAATATGTTTTGCTATAAATTTCGTTTTAATCTTTAAAAAGCCAACTACAGCTCATTGATATTAACTGTGTTATCCTCCTCTGCCTGGTTAGGTATCTAACCTAACAGTAATAGTAAATCGATTTTAACTTACTGCCTGATCACTAATAGTTAAGGGTGATTATTTTTGGCTCCTTGGCAAATATTAAATTCATTTACTAGGAAAACATGTTTATGGAGTAACTTAGGAAGACACATAAGTTAGAATGAATTATATTACATTCCAACACTTTGTGGCTTAAGAATTTAACATTAATTTATTTTTAATTGCTTCTTCATTTAGGATTCTTGCTTTTTTGTTAATAATCTCGTTATTTCTTTAGCAACTTTTGTACTTAGCTCATTTGTCACTGTTGGCAAAAGTTTGCACAGTTCAACTCTCAGAAACTTTGCTTTATTTCTCAATTACTTCTTCATTTATGATTGTTTCCTTTTCTTGGTTATTTCATTGTCTTATATGTTAACTAGAGGCTGTACAGAACTGCTAACTACAGTTTGTAGAATTAGGTTGTCGATGACTTTATTTTGTTTCTCAGTTGCTGTTTTCTTTAGAATTCTTGCCATTTTAGGTAGTAGCTTATTCTTTTATAACTACACGCCACTGGTGATATTTCTCTCAATCTGATAAAAGCTGACAGGCTTCCGCTAATTAAACAACTGTGAATGTAGTTAATGAAGTTACATTTTTTTACTGTTAAACATTTCTGGTAGGGTGATCTTTAACAGCATTGTTTAAATAGTTTTTAGGATATATCAGCTTTAGTGATATTTAAAGAGCTGAACGTTTTGTTTTCTGAGCTGCTGAGAAATGTTCGGTACTTATATACTATCGTCACCACCTCAGTAGAAGTCGCCAAAGTTTTCACAATGCGCCGAAATATGACAACCATGTGAATAACCATTCTTCAGGCTACCATGCGCATAATAATTCTTCAATCAAACGATACTTTTTACATTAAAATTAAATTTTAAAATATATATTTGTGGAATTTGGCAGCAAAAGAAAACGCTGAGGTAATACTGTAGTAATTTGCAGCAAAATGGCTAAAGAGAACAATCATGAGTTGCGTTAGTAGATAGCCAGTACCAAGATTGCGCTCGATGTCTTGTTTGTGCAACTCTTCGATACTTTTGATTTGAAAACAGATCACTGTGTATATAAAAAGAACAGCAGAGAAAAATTACAGAAGATACCTTGGAAAATGTAAGCATTTTTTTACATATTTAATAATTAAAATTTTTATTTTAAATTTCTAAAGTGTGTTTTCGTTTGATATATGGCTTGCATAATTTTCCTGGACTGCGTCATTTCGAGATCAGTCTGTGCCACATGGCTTGCATAATTTTCCTGGACTGCGTCACTTCGAGATCAGTCTGTGCCACATGGCTTGCATAATGCTAATGACGTAGCTAATTCGAAACTTGAATTCAAATTTTCGAAAACAAACTTTTCTAACCTAAACCAAAACCGTCTCTTGGTTGTCCTCTTTACTGAATAACTGCGCACTTTATAGCTTCAGCTCTCTTGCAGTCAAGATGATACTTTGTTCCCTTTGCTTTTCCGTGCTGCTAACTATGCCGTTACCTAAAATTTGATATTTTTTATAAAATTGTCGGGTACATTTTGCATCCATTATCATATGTGATGAAGAATATGTTTCAATAATTAGTTCGTGTTCGGTTGGGCCACGTTTGTCTACAAGTATCTCCGTCGAGTGTCATCTTTCTAACTACGCAGTAAAATCTCTCCCCCAAGTTATAACGCAGAGAACCACCGCCAATCCGTTGCAGCTTACTCCAAGTCAGATTATATATATATATATATATGATGTACCAGCTTTTGTCCGGAATAAATAGATTGGTGAAGAATCATAGATGTAGTCGTAGGTTAAATTATCAGACAATAAGTTAAAAAAACAGGATCCATTTATTATATATCAGGAGAAAATAGCAGTTACAAAAATTAAGATCTCCGGAGTAAATAAAAAAGAATTACTAATAACTTTTTGTATGAAGTTTACTGCATCGTTACATTAAAGAAACGACCCCTATATTCCTTTGCGAGTCCTTTTATAGCCTCTGGAAAGGCAGAGCTTCCAAGCCTCGTCAGCCAATCCATTTCGCTTTAAATATCTCCAAAACATACTATAACTGTACGTGTAGAAAGAGCGGGAAAAACAACTTGACTACGGGGCTGTGGATTTAATTCCACGTACTTTCAAATAAGAGACCGTCGCCATTAAAAATGAAAAGAACATACAGTTAGAATTTTAAGTGTATTCTTGACTATGGAATTTTATTATTACATATATATATGAAAGAGATTAAGAAACTTCGATCAGTAAACAAAGAATTAAAAATTAATTTCAAGAAATCATTCAACAAACAAATAAACTAAGTTAAACCTAATAGAAGGAAAATTACAACCTATGGTAAAATAAGGTAAAAATTATATAGGGTTTCATACATATATTCCGTACAATTTTTTCCAATTAACAGTGCAAAAATTATATATCGGCATTCAACACAATTTTTTTTCTAATTATCAATAATGAAATATACTAAGCATTTTTCAAGTTAATTGTAAGAAATTTAGTTTATAAATTCATTGTATTAAATTCGCTACAGAAAGCAGGCTTTGACTAGCGTGAACGAGCAGCAACGAACATAATTCTTTAAAATCAAATGGGAATACGCATTAAAGAATCTTCAGCACAATGAAACGCAGTCAACAATGAACACAATTCTTTGAAATCAAATGGAAATATTTATTAATGAATTTTAACTTTAAAAATATTGTCTAAATCTTAGAAACCGAAACAAACTTTTCCTGACAGTTTGTACACAAATCAAATCACGGTACTGGAATTCTCTAAGTAATTATAATCGACATCACGTAATTGAATCAGAGGATTTAACTACACCTGCTTTCGAGTCTATCCATTATCCATCCTAATTCAATCTAGGAAAGTTATCACTCATCCTACGGCTGAATGCTTACACGAAGACATTATTTCCGAATCCTGCTTTAATTCGGAAGCTCACAAAACAGAGGATCGCAGAGAAGGCAGACAAACGGCTCAGGCACGTTAACTAATTCTCTCTTTTTCACTGTCAAGATCTTACAAAATTTAAATAATTAAGGAAATTCATACGCTATACATTTTTTTCTTTATTGCATTACTCTTTTCCGACGCATGTAGCGTGGAAAACAGAAGAAGAAACACTTAATTAAAACTTAAAGTAGTTAATATAAACACACTCATCTTTAATGACAACGTGCAGGAAGGTATCGGAATAATTAAAGCAAAAATATATTAAACGTAATATTAAAAAATCAAATATTTGTACAAAATAAGAAAACAATGCTGTATTGTGTAAATGCATATTGCCGTTAGGTATGTGAGAACTACAAATTTAAAAATAAATTCTTATATTCAGTCAGTAACTTATTAAGTTACACTTATTAAGTTCATTTGTTAAAGTTCGTTCCATCTCTGGTTAGAATCCAGTGACCCAAAAGTGGCACCAACAGTCATAAAAAAGTTATTAAAACGGCTTATTGTTCGCTGTTGTTGTTTCTACAATCTCCGGTTAGAACCTACAGCCAGATTGAGTCTACAAATTTGATCGTGGCCAAAACGTGCGGGATGCGCTTGCTATTGACACATTATAAATGATAATACGAGTTGTTCAGTTCCATCACAATTTTGAAGGAAAATCTCCCAAGGTGTGGGCCGGATTATTATTGGCACTTCAGCTTTCACCCTCCAAGCGGTAAAAGGTTTAAGCCCTGAAATCCTAAAGTTTTCATAACGACCATGGCTAAGACGCATTTTCTTCATTATAATTCAAAAAAAAACTTCCCATGCTATTTTAATTATATAGACACATTTAATGCGTACCTGTTTACTTAAAAATATCAAAACTAATATTTTGAATGTATATATATACGGTTTGGCCACTTAGGTTTAAATGGGACATTTATTGTTACATCATAAAGAAAAGTACATCGTTAAAGAGATATGAAAGAGATTAATTATTGGTACATCATTAAAAAGATTAACAAAACTTTAACTTCAGCTTTTTGAGACCTGAGACTTCAATAGTAATTAAGTAATTACAAATCAGTTATCAGATTAAGACCCTTGCTTCTATTGCTGAGGGCTCACCAGCGGCCGAACAGTAAAATCGCTAAACGCTGGTAATTCGACCTGGATTCCATTCTAAGTGAATGGGCGTTTTCGTGTTTTTTTCCCATGTGTAATGGGCATACGAACAAATTTCCCTTAAAATGCCATGCAATAATCTTCCTCAGCTTCCACTTTGGCAGCTGAGGAGGCTTGTTCTGCAATCAAAACCATCGAAACTAGTCCTGTGAAATTTTACTGGTATAGCTTTGGTTCTTGTTGTTTGACTTCTCCAATAATCACTGATGTAATGTACAACAAATCCAATTTTTATCAATACATGTACCAATAATTTAATTCACAGACTTTTGTGTATTTTGCGGGAGCGTAATTGTTAAAACGTGACCTAAGATCCCTCTTGCTATTTTTTATTTATTGATTATTACTTAAATGAAATAATATTTAATATTCTAGGAAAAACGAAATCTTTCTGTTTAAAAATATTCAAGATTTAAAGTGTTTCATATTTTCTTTAATTTCATATCCTATCTAGTCTAATTAAACATATTTAACTATCTAGCTTCGCAGAATTTTTATGTTAATTAGCCAGTTATTATGATTTGAACCCAAACTTCTTCTTTCCTCACCTAGTGTTCACCAGAATGCA